AGACCAAACGGACGTCATATCTTTCTTAGTTTATTTGATCGAGCCTCATCCTCAAGTCTTGTGTTTATCCCTCGGGATAGATACAGGATTTGAGGTAGAATGCTCTTTCATTTAAACTGTGAAAAATATGAGGTCAGTTTGATTTCATATTTTTCTAAAATTATATATATATACGTAAATTAAAAAGTCCTTCCGAAGCGGGCGACGGGATTTCGATTCCGGCTGCCGACAGCTTCTTACGGGCGACCCCCCAAACATTAACCTTTTCCCATTTTAAGATGACCAAGACATTAACAATATCTTACCACCATGACCACCACTATTCGAAGATGACCAAGACACCATGCCAGGCTCGATAGTTTTGCATTTCTAGTTTTGGGAGTTTGTACAGATGTATTGGGCACGTGTTATTATTATTTTGGATTTAGTGGCTATGTATAGTTTTCATGTTTTGAATTATGATTTTTCATCGCTTCCAAGTATGAATATGAATGATTTATGAAATAAAATATATCACATATGTTCGCGGCAATTTAGTTAGACTCGTTCATTACCCACTAGGTCCTGATTTCACAAGTTAGGATGAGTGTTGGTGAGAAATTAGTCTGGTCGAATTGTCTATCTTTGTCACACCTCAGTCGACCTTGAGGGTGCAAGTTCCTGTCATCCGCTTCTGCTTTTAGTCCCACGCCACCAACTCCTCCACTACCCAACCTTCCCATATAAGAAACCCGCCAACTACTGTCCCCCACTTCAGTCAACTCCTTCCCCACCATCTTCCCTACCACAACCCACTTACTCCCATCTGCTACCCAACTACCACCTTTCAATGACCCCACTCCTGCAAGCAGTCTCCTCACTTTCAATCCACCAAACCGACCACCACCTCGACCTAAAACCTAGTTGGTTTGGTGTTGTGTTTCTTTTCCTGTTTTGAGTTTTGATTCTAACACCATTGTTTTGAGTAATAAAATTTATTTTTCTATCGGATTTTGGGTTTGGTATCAAATATTTTTTATGAGACTGAAAAGATTTGGGATTTATAAACGTAAGAAAAAAAAATTAGGTATTAGATATGTAAATGCATAAGCATTGTATGGCATGTATGTAATATGTAAATGCCCCTTAAAAGAAAAAAATTTGAGGAGAACAAACATTTTGTACATGGTAACAAAAGGAAGTCTTATCAAATGACTAGCTTACAGCAAAGGTTGAACAGGTTAATATTTTGACGTTGTATATAGCCTTTACATTTCACAGAATGAGTAAAAATTCAAATAAAAGATCCAACAATACAGTTCATTGAGGCATTAGGAATTCTTCTACTAAATCAGGTTTATAGGAAAGAACCAGGAAAAAAAAAGTATAGAAGAAAGCCAATAAATTGCTCACCAAGAACAAGAAAAGGCATTACCATTCCTTTTTTAGGAGAATTTAACACTTTAAGAACTTAGGTTAGACAAATTTTCTATAACCTAAGTACTAATAGATGCTTGTAAGCCATAAGTTACTTCTGTTCAAAGAAAAGAAAGAAGATAGAATCAATTGGTAAAGAAAATATAATAGATGCCGCAACCAAATAAAGTTAATGAGAAAGGAACAACACCAAAACATAAAAGGAAGATTTATATATATCACTCAACTCCTATGTGTTTGCATCTCTAACTGCTAAACGTCAATTATTACATACATAACACCCTATGCATTAAAAGGTGTATTTCACATTTTAAAAATTAACATGGTGGAATTTTTTGTGATATGAAAGATTTTAGTGTTATAAATGTAAAAAAAGTAAAGTTTAGGTGTTATACATGTAAATACGTAACAATTGAGCGGAATGTATGTAAATACCCCAACATAAAATTACCTCACAAGCATCAACTCATTTACAGAACGCCACATTTTCCGTCCGACATCTCTGCTAGATTGATCTCTTGCACTTCGGCCATGCCACAACTCTTTCACAATGTAGCACACCTCCTCAACACCTACCTAATAAAAAAGTTGATTAATATTGAGCAATTTTTTATTTAAAGAAGGTAAGATAAGAAACCAAAGCTTCCCCTAGCACCACCTATCTACAAAAATTGATATACTATAAATTTTTGCCACCTTAGCAAGCATGCTCCTCTTTTAGTAAAATGAAGTTCACATTATGCATTTAAAAGGGACTAGCGGGCCCAAATTGGATCATTCTGAGACTTGGATAACTAAGGAGCTGTTTGGGATCTTTTTTTCCTATTATTTTATTTTATTTTATTACTTCTTTAAGTTTTGATTTGAAACAAAATATATTGGGCTATTTGATTAAAATATAAATATTTTTAAAAACACTCGTCAGTGGTTTTAAAAACTTGTTAATTTATTTTTAGAAAAAAAAATAATAGTGTAAAAACACATCAAACAAAAATATCTTTAAAAATACGAGAAAAAAAAACAAAAATAAGAAACAAAATTTATCCCAATTAAAACAATACATATTCTACTAATGCATAAATATATCAGAACTTTTTCACTTCCAACTCAGAAGTAGTTCTAATATCAAATCAATCTGTAGGATGGCTTATAGATCGTAGTATGGTAGTTTCACCTAGAAAATTGATGAAGATTACAAAGCTTAAGTACTTAAAAGTTAGTCAAAACAAAGCAAAAGTTGATGAGAATTTCCATACCAAGACCTCAGCTGAACCATATAATAGTTCTTCATGTTCAAGAAGGCGTTGATGAAGAATCCTATAGTGATTCAGGTCCAAATTTACCACTGGTTCAGTATGAACAGGCAGTTCAGCAAGCTGTGTCACAACATAAGATGCCATCACTTGCCCAAAAATTGCAGGGATGGTTCCCATAACAGGTATAATGCGTACCCTGAAGCCTGGCACAATCTGACATGTAGAGCATGTAGAGTTAATTTGTATTTTTATTTTAAAAAAAAAAAAGCTAGAAAGCCAAATTGTCCTTCAGATACCAAATAAGTACTACAAAATTTTTTTGCTAAATAAAACCAGAAAAAAAATATAGGCAGCCTTAAATATAATCTGCCACTTTTGCCGATGCAAATTGTACATAAGAAAAGCAAACATTGACTATTTCTGTCAACATTATATTTAACCTGATAATCTGAAGGGTTTTCTTCCTCGCCAGATGAGCCTTTAAATGGTAAAAGTTTAACTTTGGGTTTCTCCACAGAGAAAACAACAGGAATTCCACCTTCAATTCCATGGTCCTTGCGCAAACGATATCTTACCTATGAGTGGAAAAATGAGTGATTTAGCAGAAAATATAATTTGAGGTATTCTGACTGAGAGAGATCAGACTGGTAAAAAATTGACAAACTGTAAGCCAAAGTCAAATTCGAAGGGTTAAAAAACATGTTTACAACATGGTATAGAATATTGAAGTGGCTTAAATTATTTAAGCTACATAGTAAACGTTGCTATTTAAGGTAGATTGTGCAAGAAGGCGATGCATTTGTGATGGAAAGAGAGGCAAAAACTCTACATGTACAACATGGAACAATCCACACACACAACTTTGATTTAGTTAGCACTCAATTAACCTCATGAACAATTAAATTTCAAGCATTTATCAATCAAGAATAATTACATAGAAGATTTACATACATGCCATGCAATCTTACCTACATTCTAACACCTAATTTTCAATTTTTACATACATGCCACTTTAGCTCTGCATAAGAAGATGCATTTCACTTTTAAAAGTTAAAATGGTGATATTTTAGACCTGATATGCAAGATTTGGGTGATATTAAAGTAAAAAAGTAAAGTTTAGAAATTGGGTGGTAAGTATGTAATTGCCCCAAATAAATCATGAATCCATATTTATGTAGATATAGTTATACATGAAACCAACTATCTTAAAGCAATTCCAAACTTCATCAATCCTAACAGGCGCTCAACTTCTAATATTATCCAAAATGGATAATTAAATCTAATAAAATAAGATAAATAAACAAAAAACCATGAAAATTCAGTTGAAAACATGGATAGGTCTAAGAAGGCAGAAAAAACAGCTTTGATTCAGTTATGTTTCCACAAATAACTCACATAAGCACATTCATAACATAAAATTTGTTGTAAAGGGATTGAAACCAGGTTATGTCCAGGGTAATTACTCACGCTGAAAAGTAATAAAAATTAGTCATTTTTCTTATAAAATTTAGGTAATTTAATAATTTATCCCCCACTAGAATTAATTTTTTGTTCAACACCTTAAAAAAATAAACATCTGGTTATTTTGTCCACCCAAAAAAATAAAGTTATTTCCGCCCCTCCATCATAATCTCAAGAAAACATGTGTAAATGTACAAGACTGGAATATAATGCAAAGCTGCCAGGAACGGAATGCCATCCAAAATCAAAAAAGAGCTTCTAATAAGAATGGTAATAAAATCTAAGATGATGATGACATTTTCCAGAAATTCAAATAAAATAGTATTAAAAAATAAATAGAAAGTAAATGCTCTTCGTTTAAAAAGGAATTTTGAAATAGGTACATACACAAATTAGCATGTAAATGAAATTAACATTTTGAAAGTGAAGCATGTTTGAATTAGGTCTGTTGAATAAATATCCAAGAAATGTAAGTGGAGATATTGTATTAGCACAATTATATGTTGGCAAATCGGCACTGCAAATGACTTTTTTTAAAAAAAGTTGGGAAACATAAGTAAAAAAGGAAAAGAAACAAAACAAAAACACAGTTGAATAATTAATTGGAAAATAAAGGAATGCGCCACTAAAATATAACGTCAAACTATATTTCTAACAATATGCAACGATTTGTCTAAATATTTAAATTCGATTCTACTCTTTGAAACTTGTTGCACTTCTTTCTCCAAGACTAGATTCCATCTAAAAATAAGCTTGAGACAATGCATTGAACTAGATTAATTTACCATCCAGCAAGAATTCGAAAAGCGTGTCATTCATTTTTCACCAAAATTTCCATATCTTAATAAGTAGAAAAAATATTTCTTATATAAAGAGCTTCATAGTTAAAAAATGAAAAGTTAACAGATAAGTAGCATTAGGAATCCTAGAAAAAAAGAGTTGTGTGAAAGAACTGGATAAGAAAGCTTAGCTTGTTCACTTTCAATAGATATTTATACACAAAATTACAAAAAAATAATTCAATTAACTAGGATAAAAATTTAAAAAACAGTCTTGCACTTCATTTGATAAAAAGCAAATCTTTATGTCCAAATTTTAACCTTATTCAGTTGGAGTCACACGGCTTGCACTTCATCATTTTATTAGTTTACTAAATGCATAGCATCTTTTTTTTTTGGATAGAAATATTCTTTATTCAGATTGACTAACTTCTATGCCAAATATTTGAGTGCCCAACTCTTTGATTTCAAATTTCTTGGTAATTTTCTTTCTAAAGATCTTCTTCTCTTGATTGTCATCAACAATAATAATAATAATAATCAACATACACAATCAGAATTAAAATCTTTTCATCAAATAAATAATTTATGAAGAAAGTACGGTCTCATTGGCTTTGTTTGTATCCAATAGGGCTCTCAAAAAGGCTCATTGTTCGCAAACAGCTCGTGCTCGACTCATTAAGAAGCTTGTGTTAGGCTCGTTCGTTAAGTCAACGAGCCGAACATGAACAAAGATTTGTTCATTCGTGTTCGACTAATTTTGGCTTGAAATATTACTCATTAATTTTATATATATATATATATATATATATATTGATGAGTAGTATTTTTAAAAACCTTATTCGACTACAAGGCTACAAAGAATTATAATCAATTAAAAGTATTAAGTAAGAAAATAAAATTAAAATTATTAAATTAAATTCAAATGATGTTTTAATATAAACATTAATTTTTACATCTTGCCCCAACCCTTAATATTTTATGGCTACATAGGGTTGTCAAAACGACTTTTTATTCATGAACAGCTCATGTTCGACTCGCTAAGCAAACGAGCCGAACACGAACACGTTTTTTGAGCTCGAAATACACCAGCTGAGCCTGGGCTCGCTCGTGTTCGGCTCGTTTACACCCCTAGTATCCAACTCCAACCATAACATTTGTGAATCTGCCAAGTCAAGCTCTTGGGGATTGTTGGCACGGAATGAATCACACCCAAGCTTTATGTCATAGCTTATGCTCGGGAGTTCATCGATCACCCTCTAGTAAGTCCTTGCCGCATGACTCGTGCTTGCGGTCGTTCTTCGACGTTTCACCTTCAACTTGTTTGACGATGCCTCCTCCGACACAAGGCCAACACATAAATTCACCAATCACCCTCGAGTAAGTCCTTGCCGCATGAATCGTACATGTGAGTCGTCTTCGACGTCTCACCTTCAACTTGTTCGACGACGCCTACTTCCGCACAAGGCCAACACATGTTGCCCTACTCTTCCTCTTTCAACTCCGAATTGATGTTCCACTATAACTCTCCTCATCTTCCTTCTCTTTCACCATCGTTTCTTCCTCCCTCGTTGTCTCCCTCTCTCACTCTCTGGGTATGTTACGAACGAAGGGAAGCTTAACGCGACTCTTAAAGACGAAACATGACTATCGTGACGATTTATCAAACCATTGACATCAATTAAAATGTATTTATTTATTTTTATTTTTATTATATTTTGTTTAATATTATTATTATCATTATTATTATTATTTATTTTATATTTTTAATTTATAACTTATAGTTATTACATGGTATGAACTGCTATACAATAAACTGGAAACAAACTATAACAACAACGATGAAAAGCAGAACAACTTTTACAAAGCCAACATAAAACAAATGGTTCAAGAAAAAATGCACGGCTGATTTCCAATCCAGCCAACAAAGAACATTAACACCAATTATTAGAGAAGATTCCGTAAGCATAGAATTTTAACTTACTGATTGATCATCTAGCATTGACAGAGTGAATCTTCCCAGCTAGGGTTGTATAAAACGCAAAGATGCGAATGAAGGCTTTTTGGAAGATTTACAAAGATTTACATGCATCGCACACAATTCCTACTCATTTACATATTGAACACCTACACTTTAATTCTTTATAACTATGCCACTCCAACAATGCATGAAAAGGTGTATTTCACTATTTAAAAGTTAGAAATAATGATGTTTTAGATCTGATATGAAACATTTAGGTGTTACAATTATAAAAATCAAACTTTAGGAGTTAGATATATAAATAGAAAGGAATTGTGTGGAATATATGTAAATGCCCTAAAATTCTATGCATCAAAGCTCCTTTAAGAAACTCAATTGTAACAGTGGCAGATTATTACCGCTCTAGAAAGAGGATCAATGCTTGATTCTCCTAAATCAGCAACACGAATTCTTGTGGGGTCAGCTCTGGCACCAGCCCCCATCGCAGATAGAACTTTCAAACTTCTACGAACACATGCAGAAAGGAGTGCAACCTGTAAGACATAATCGACAAGGTAAAATGGCATATTAATTTCCTACATAAAAATAGTCTTATGAATTCTCAAATCAATGTTCCAAAATTTAAACTTAACACTGCTTTGTGCATAAAAGAAGGAAAATAATCACCGATCCCTTCTCTAAACTTGAAAGGACCAATGGGACAGTATTGGACAAATTGGTCACTACATCTGAGAATAAAGCCATAAAATTGTGAAGTGCCTTGCCGAGGTAAGAACACCAAGTTAAATGAAATTTAGGGGGCTCTTGGGCATCAAATTTGTTTTTTTGATTTTTTTTTCTATTTTTTATTTTTACTTTGTTTTGTAATTGTTTTTATCTAAAATAAAGCATAGTTGGTATGTTTTTATAAAATAAGGTTGTTTTTTAAAACATTCAAAATATATAAAAATTATTTTAAGTATTTCAAAAAACATGTTATTTAAAAAAAAATTAAAACATCTAATAAAAAATATTAAACAAACACGTTTTTTTTTAAATAATAAAAATAAAAACAAAAACAAAAACAAAAATCAGGCGATCTGAAACAGCCCCTAAGTTTAGTAATCATTTTGCAAAAAATCAAATAAAAACTTTCATACAATATAGTAAAGTGATGAGTCCAACAATATCCGGAGATGCCAAATGACTCCCTTAAATAACATGGAAAATAGCTTATTGCACCTATTGCAATCAAAATTTATCCTCAAAATTTAAAATTCAGACTCACATATACACCAAACCGCCGCAAATAATTAATTTGTCCACAAACTTTAGCTCTTGCATTTAGTCCTTACATGCCAAATGCAAAAAGCTAAAAGTATGCCTTACATGGAATTTCCTGCACTAATGTAGCGTTAAAATTCCAAGAAATTTTAGAGTATTTAGAATAGTTGTGAGACTGGTGTTAATCAATGATACCGAGTTAACCCAAACAACAATAGGAAAACAAAATTTTATTAGTGAAATCAAATAGGCGGTTACAAACAACACACTTGAAAGGAAAAATAGAAAAACACATCTGAAAATCTGAAATAGCAACAGACATGACACAAACACTAAAATTAGGGTAGATCTCAGGGTGTTGGTGACGATAAATGAGGGTTTGGAAGATGGTGGGATGATGGATGAGGTGGTTGGCAAGTAGAAAACAGTAAGACAATGGTTTTCTGGGTTCCGGACAACAAGTGAGCGACAAATATCGGCGTGGCACAGCTGTTCGGGATGATGGCAGCCAAGGGGGGAGGGCTGGAAGGGTGATGTAGTGAACTGCCCGGCAGTCGAAGAAAGGCTGCCCTTGGCAGGGGCAGCAAAGAAAAGGGCTGGACAGTGAGAAAACTGCAGGAAAACAGCAAAAGGGCTGTTGTGGAGGGGCCCTGCAGCGAGGAGGAATGTGCGGCAGGGAAGCACGAGGGATGTTGAGGAGTTGGGGAGCGATAAAAACCACCCGAAGATCATGATACAGTCGAAGCACCACCCCGAACCCTAGAATACAGCTCTCGAAGAGAAGAAGCGACACTGGCGGCCTTCTCGATACACAACACACGAAAAACTAATCATGGACCCTCATGAAAGAAAATTTATAATAAAAGGATGACTGGTGCGGGGTTCTCAGTAGTGAACAAAAAGCAAATGAGGGGCTCTTAGACGCAGGACCCCAAGGAGAGCTGAACCGTGCGGTTCAACAGAGTGTCGGTCTAATAGGGAGGCTAGACTAGCCGCCCAATCTATCAAGCGGGACTGGTCGCTCTCGCTCGTATCCTGCTGCTCCTTTTTTCTCCTATTTTAACTCTTTCCTACTTGGTTATTCCTTTTATGGTTGCAGCCTAGGGGTAAATGTCCCTTCATATGTTATCTATTAGCTATTATACATGTATGTGTTTGTGGAATTAGGGTTATATTTTGGTTAGTTTTCATTCCACATTTATAAAGAACTCTTTGTTTTTCCTTGCAAGGGTTGTTTCCGAAGAAAGGTGGTGCTCTGACTGTATCATTCTCTGAGGTGATGTTGTATCCCCTCTAATTTCCTCCCTACCACTCCCCCTTCTCTCCTTTAGTCGTCGGGCAACCTTTACTCCTCACTGCTTGCCCCAACCGTCCCCTTACCCGCAGCCAGCCTTGTTTTCCAGTCCATCCCGCCATCACCCAGCACCCCACCGCTTCTTTCCATGCAACCTCCCTTGCCGTCCAACTCCTTCAGCCCACTGAGCCCCTTCCCAGCCTACCACACAACCACCAGCCCCCCTCCAAATCCCCTTACCACTTACCAGCACCTCCTCCAGTATCGCCCAATTCGACCATCATCCAACCTAATTCTTTCTATCCATTCCTAGCCACCGGCCACCAAAGCACCTACTTTCCCAACGCCTATTCCACATTCCCACACAACTACCACTCTCAGCCAGCTCGCCAATGCCACCACCGCACCCAGCTACTCTCTTCTGACCCTAGTCAGAGATTAGTGATGTGCTTTATTTTCTTTTCGAGTCATCTTTGTAACCATAATTAATTTGCATAAAAAATTGCTTCCATTTTTGTTGGTTTAACTAGTTATGGTATCAATAACTATGAATGACCTAAGAGAAACAGCCGATTCCTTGAAATGAAGTAAACCTGGACCTATTTGGTCCGGGCTAACATGTGAGATGCACCTTTTTGGTCTCAAGAAGAATTTTGTGTAGGTGGTGGTTCTGCATCTGCCTAGGTTTTAGATGCCCCGCATCAGTCTCCCATGGTTGGGGGTGTTTTGACCCCATTTGCCGAAGATTCTGTCTGCAAGTAGGCGGTGATAGAGCTAATGCAACCTCTTGGGACTGAAGAATCTTCAATTACGGCCCTAAAAGCACCTAAATCCCATTGTCAAATTTATTATCTCCAAAAACACCTGAGGATTTTTTCCTGCTTGTGAGAAACCATCCATATCAGTCCAACATTCTAGGGGTGCGCAACGGAACTGAACTGGGACTACAGGTCACATATATTCTATTGAATCCTCTCAAAGTAAACCCATGTTGGTTCAACCAGATTTGAAGTGAGGGCAGTATAAATCTCCCATAATTGTGGCGGCCATGATGGTAAGCTGTCGAACATGTCGTCCTAAAATTCTCTATGTAGTAGCTGGCCTGGGGCAGAAAGTTGTTGTCCCGTCCCTGTCTCCTCTGTCATCATCAAAACTAAACCTACGGCTTCTTTGCTAGCAAGAGCACCTATAACCTCGAACACAACAGACGATAGAAGGACTACGCTTGTCATTCTTGGTGAAGGAGTAGGTGTTCCTGAACCTATCATACTAAATCCAACAGTTAAACTACCACAGTCTCTCTAAAAAAATATAGCAGGCATCCATGGCATCACATCGCACCAAATCTGATTCTACAACTAGTTCCCAATCGAAAATTTCATGAGAAACCTCCTGTCAATGCTAATCTTGTTCTCCTTCAACCACGTTAGAGAATACAGCTGGGAATGACTCTGAGTCGTGAAGCTCAAGTTATCCACCATCTACGTAGACGCCACATTCTTGTAGCTTCCTCTATCGATGATGAGACCAAATACCTTTCCCTTCACAGTACAATGGGTGTATAATATATATTGGTGAAGTCACTGCTAACCCCTCATAGCCTCAGTTTGTAGGACCCGTTGAACCACGAGCATTTTACCCTCATTTGGTAGATGGTACTCCTCACCCTATTCTTCAACTGTCTCCATTACATCTTGCTCGGTGAAGAACACAACTCAGTTTGTCGGGAAACTGGAAGCGATGTGTCCAAAATCATGGCAACTGAAACATTTCCTAGTCGGGATTGTAGTTGGTGTGCTACTCTTCTCAGACTTCTCACTCGAAATGACTGTCCAATTCCTGACCAGTTTGCTTCACTCCCTGAGGCATGCTTCTCCTGAGGTCTCCCACTATGGGTGTGACTGCCTGACTGACGGTGGTTTCCTGCTCTGCTTCTACTGTCTCTCGACTTTCAAAACTAAAGTATGCACATCCCTCAATATTCAATAGGTTTGCAGTTGGGCCACAATACTGATGGAGGGTTCCAGCTCTCCCAAGTAATTGGCTATGTTGTGATCCTCTAGCTCCTTCAATTCACACCTTAATTTAAGCTGCAAAAATTTTGTCGTGTAGTTCACTAATAGCTCCTGCCGCAAATAATGAAGCTTTAAGAAAATTTCATGGCAATAGTATGGAGGTAGGCACCATAGCTACATTGCTTTCTCCATTTTCTCTCAAGAACTGATTATGTCTCGTTCTTCTCTCTGTCTCTCCCTCTTCAGGTTCTCCCACCAAAAAGAGGGGTTCTTCAGCTTGATGACCATGAACTTCACTCTGCTGTCAACAGGCACATTTTCGTATTCAAAGATTAGCTCAACAATCTACATCCACTTGAGGAAATCATCTGAATCCATTCTCCACTCAAAGTCTACTAGGTCCACTTTCACTCCCGAGCCTCGGTATCCTCCAACAAGCATTTTATCTCTGTATCTTCCAACTTGCACCTTATTATTATAACTTACAACAGACACTTCATCTCTCGACCTCCTCTAATATTGTATCCCAAAGTGCCCTGGTCGATACTTCTCTCATTGAAATCATCTTTACAAAAGGAAGTCAGATGTTCTTCTTGCTCTCCTCAACAGATTTCACTATATGGTCGAAGGTGATCCCGCCTTGGGTCTTTTCCTCAATAGCATTAAGTCATTGTAGCACTTGATGCAGTAGTCGTATGCCATTCATGGTAAATTCCAGATTAGGTTCCGACAATTGCCTCCTCGGCGATGGCGTGGTTAGGCATTGGGTCTGAGTAGATGAAAGGAGATGTGTACGGAGGAAAGAAAAAATTTAGGTGGAGGGTAGCAATAGATATTAGGAATCCTAGGATAGGACTAGCATTAGACTGGCTCTGATACCAAATAATACCGAAGTTAACCCAAACAACAATAGAAAAATCAAATATTGTTACTGAAAGCAAATAGGCAGTTACATAGAGAAAATATGACATAACACCCATAAATCTGAAATAGCAACATACACGACACAAAAACTTAAACTAGGGTGGATATGGGGTGGTGGTGGTGATCGGCCAAAATTTGGAAGGTAGTGGAATGGTGGACGAAGTGGTTGGCAAGCTAGAAAAAGTAAGACTATAGTTTCCCAAGTACCGAACAAAAAGTATGTGACAGATATCAAAGTGGAACGGCTGTCCGAGATGATGGAAGCCATGAGGGAGGGCTAGAATTGTGATATGGGATGCGATGGATTGCCAAGCACTCAAAGGAAGGCTTTCCAGGGCAGGGGCAGCGATCATTGCAGGTCTCAAAACCACCGTATAAAATTTTACTTAGTCTAAGCGGTACTTTTCGCTTTTCGATCACACAATAGGCCCAAAGCATTCCTCAACTTCAACCAACCAGCTTGAATTCTACTAACAACATCCCCTGTCTATATCACCATCATTTTGAACAATTGAGATAACTAAAGCGTTCACACCTTTCAATAAGTTGGTCACCCATAATTACAACTCTGTCACTAGAGTTGCTACTAAAATTACATTCCATGTATTCAGTTTTAGTTTTACTCAAACGAAGGCCTTTAGACTCCAAAGTAAACCTCCATAATTTAAGTTTTTCTTGAGCTTTCTCTCTAGTCTTATCCATGAGAAGGATATCATCAATGAAAAGCATACACCAAAATACATCCTCCTGTAAATGTCCAGTAAGAGCATCCATAACTAAAGCAAAAAGAAAGATATGGGCTTAAAGTAACTAAAGCAAAAAGATATGGGCTTAAAGTCGATCCCTAATGTAATCTAACTGAAATAAGAAAATATTTGGTCAATCCTCCCGTTCAAACATGAGTAACAGCTCTAGTATACATATCTTTAACGATTTGAATATAAGTCAAATCAACACCTTTCTTCTCTAGAACTCTCCAAAGGATATCTTTTGGAACCTTATCGTAAGCTTTTTCTAAATCAATAAAAATCATATGTAGATTCTCCTTATTCTCTCTGATCTTCTCCATAAAATCTCTCAATAATGTATGGTTTCCATAGTAGACCTGCCCGACATAAATCCAAATTAATTATGAGAAATCTTTCTTATATGCTTAACCTATGTTCAATTACCCTATCCTATAATTTTATAAGTATGACACATCAACTTAATTCCTCTATAATTTACACTTTTGTGCATCCCCTTTATTCTTAAAGATGGAGACCAAAATACTCTTCCTCCACTCCTCAGGCAATCTTTTAGTTTTTAAAAAAATATTAAAGAGTTTAGTAAGCCATAAAACTCTCAAATTTCCTATATATTTCCCATCATCATTACATGATTTAAAATGATTTGGAATTAATGTATGCGCATGTTAAGATCTTGGATAGTTTGATGTACATTAGTTTTGACTTTTTTGTGTGAATCTTAAGTGCTATAGAATTTTATAATTGTCTCATATTTCATATGACATTTTAGATTTTGTCGACTTTTATATCATATGAGATAAATGAAGTTTTCAAAAGAGATTGATCTTTGCATAAATTAGTAGAGAAAATATGGATTGTGGTTTTGTGTGTTTCCTTGGCCATCTCACCCAAGGTTTGCATTTGTGAACTCTAGAACTCAAGATATTCATCATCATATTTCTTTCTGTATTCGCATTTACCAACGTAAGAATAAACATAAATGGTAACTCAAACGTTAATTTTCATGGCATACAAAGCAATTACCAGCAATTCACTGTAAAGACGAATAATATCAAGAAAAAAAAAGTACGCCAAAACATTAGCATTGAAGAGAACATATCTGAAGTGGAGATAAACATTAAATAATTTAGAACTAGGAACTACCTTTGTGTCAATGTTATCTATGCAATCAAGAACAAAATCTGGCTTCCCAGATAGAATTTCTTCCTCTGATGATTCATCATACAACTGAACTTTCGCCTCTACTCGACACTCTGGAAATATTGATGAAAAATGCTTTTGAAGGCAAATAGCTTTTGGGATCCCTACATCAGCTCTAGTGGCCACCGCATGTCGATTTAGTGACGAGAGTGACACCTTGCCCATAGAGTCATGTGATGCATTATTTTGATATGGAAGTAAAAAAGTTTCATATAGTATAAAATTTTCAAACATCAACAAGCATGAAAGGAAAAAGCAGCAGCAGAAATCAGCAGATCATAATTCACATTATATGCATGAGGAGCAAAAGATAATGTAAAGCCCATTCACAGGTTTGTTTGACTTGATAATGTTGTCCATAAGCGGTGTAAAAGTATGATCTTTTTAATACTTTACTCATTTGTTTGAATAATAATAAGCGGCCATTAAATTAATCTCCCTAAGAGACAAAATATGAAAATGAAAAAAAGAAAACGAAAAAACAAGCAATTTCATTGACAAAGTTTTCTGATCCCGAGAAGGAAGAATAAAATCTGAAATAAGGAAAGTGCAGTAAACATGTCTAAGTTGATTCCAACATTAACAAGAAAAGATCATACCATTGATCTGTTGTCCAATAAAAAGATGCCCTATATAATTAATCTTATAGCAAGCTGTAGGAGAGTACAGAGTAGAGTAGCGGAGAGAGATGTAGAAGAGATTTGATGGAAAGATGGAGAAGCTAATCTTGGTAAGAATATAGAAGAATACTTCTAGCGCTATAGCATAAAGACTCCTTGGGCACATAACCTGGATTGGAAGCACTTTGCGTACATCTCACATGGAGAGATAAGGCATACAAAACCACAGAAAAGAGTTCATTTTTGCATAAAAAGATTTCAATTAAGCTAAATAGGTCTCTTGTTCTATGTCAATTCTCCAGGCTATAATAGAATCTTCTTCTAAAGAGTGGCAGAGGCGACATAACATAATTGCAAAAAATATAGTACAATTGACTAGAGTCATTTTTTTTATACTTAAATAACTATTAATATAAATGTATATATTTTATTATTCTCTACTAAAAATATCACAAATGAAGTATAAAATCATTAAAAAGAATATAAGAAAATTATTTTGGTAATAATAGTGGAGAATCTAGGATTTTGGAGTGAACATTCAAAATAAAAAAAACACTAAAAAACTTGATGCTATTGTCAACCTTAATATAATGCAACAAAATATAATAACACGATCATCACTAAATTCAATTTTAGGGTTCTTATTAATGCTAGCTCTATTGTACTCTTAAATTACACAATAACCTTTATCTAAAGAAAACATAGTTTCTGAGCATGCTCATCAAGAGAGAAATTGTAGCTAATGTACATCCACCAGCATCCCATAATTTCATCTCCCTCTAGTTATATATCAGGCTCATCCTAGATAGAAGATGAAGATTGATATCCACAAATATTATATATTCTCCTTGCTGCTGAGAGATTTTATTCCTCTTAAATGAACTGATAAGAGAAAATGTAGTCCAATTTCTTTTACAACAAAAAGTTAAACCATCAAGCAAACAGTTTAAAAGCTAAACTTTGTCGTTATGAGGATCGTCGATGCGGGACACTAATATGGGCACAAGATGCAGATGCAAGCAAGGCAAACAAAACATGGAATCACGTCTAAGTGCCAAGTGAGAGCAGCATCCAAAATCCTGCAATTGTGAGAATCGTTATGAGCGGGCTACATGGGAGTTGCTTCAACGAGATTTCTTGCCTTTTCTTTATTGTCACGCACCCAGTGGACCATTATTTTCTCTTTATTTATTTTTAATTAGGAATATTTTCTATTAGGAGGATATTTATAGGTTGTCTTTGTTATTTTGAAACTTTTGGCTTTGTTTTATGTATTTTGGAGATTATATTATCTAATTTATACTCTAAGGAATGTTAGATCACCTTCATTTTGCAAGTGATGTTTCTATTGCTTGTTCAAAAATCTGTGGTGGAATCTCCGCCAATAGTTTTCCAACCAGAAGGTTGTCAAATGACCCTTATCCCCTTTCAATTGTGATCGACTTCACATATTATCATTTTATTTCTATTTCACAACCACCTCTCCTCTAGGTAAGCTTTCTAGACACCTTCGAAGAGCTCTAAAAATGTGTCATTTGGTATCAAAGCCTGGCAAACTCTAAATGTTTTAGATATTAGTCTTTCCTGTGCCTAAACCCAAAATCCACAAAGCTTAACATTCCCCAATTCAATACCCTAACTGTTTATGATGTAATTCCAAGCTCTAATCCTAAATTTTCAAAAGCTAACCTTCCTACTCAACAAAGAATTTTTTTCCCAAAACATATCACCAAAACCTAAGCCCCCAACTAAACTTTGATTTGCAATCTTATATCCACCGAAATTTTTATCAGGAGAAAATAGCACAATGTCACCTAGAAAAAACATACAAAGAGGTGTTCGAAAGCTTATGATGGAAGACATACAAAGGGAGATCCTCCAACTATAAAAAAAACTCGCCTCCTTTGAGAGGAAGCAGCCCGGAGATGTAACCCATAGCCATAATAGTGAATAACCAAATCTAGGGGAAAAAATGAATTTGTTCCACCATAAAATTTTTAGGAATGAAGAACCAATACCCTGACAATTTGACATTGAGTATCAGTGGAGAATCTAGGATTTTGGAGTGAACATTGACTTGTCGTATTTTGACAGACATTTGGATATGATTGAATTCATTGAGTGGCTCCAAGGATAGGTTCATTGAGTGGCTCCAAGGATAGGATAGTTAAATTGACAATCATCAAGCTTAAGAATAATGTTTGCTTAAGGTAGGAGAACCTCAATCATCTTCGACAACGAGAAGGGAAAAGCAAAATTACATACGATCTATGAGGAAAAAAGAGATGCAGCACAAATACTTTATTCATATTACCGACAGCATATGTTCATAAAACTTCACAACGTGTGCCAGAGAGATTCTTCTATGAAGGATCACATTGTTGAATTTGATCAACTCATTTTAAAATATGAATTGGTGAAATAAGAGGAGCACGTCGTGGTGAGATAACATAAGAGGACTAAAGTCATTTATCAATAATGTGATGCAGCTACAGTCATATTGGCCCTTGATGTACACACCCTAACTTTGAAGCTGGAGTAGCTACATCATCACTATTGACCACCACACCAGATAGACAAACCACAAACCTAGACGCAAGCAACAAGACTACACCCATTCGGGCACCCAATTCAACCCCTCACAAGAAAAAAATAGTCCATAGTGGAAAAAAAGGTAGAAACCAGCAGTATTGTCCAATCTGCCCCAACAAGAATATGATTCAAATGTAATATTTAATTTTAGATCAAATGGAATTTATGATAATTAGGTAATGATTTATGCTTTTATTTATATAATCTATTCTAATTAAAATGATAATAAATTTTTATATCTTATGAATTTAATAAGGGATTGATGAACATTTGATTATGAGATTTTGGATCAAGTAAAGTTGGTTAAATTGGAGGTAGGGATTTGATTTTTTATTTATGTAAGTTGTTTTAGTTCACTAATTAAACATTATTAAGTTATATTAAATTTTATGTATTAATATTAGTTAGTACAAATTGTCAAGCAATTGAATTAAATGATCAATAAAATCGAGGTCGGATAGTACAGAAGAAGACGAGATAAGGAGGTAAGAGTAGTGTTTATTTAGTAATCATGTATAACTAATTTAATTATACATTGTTATATATTAATGTTAGAATATTATGAAACACGATCACGTGAGAAAAAATTAATTTGTAAAAGAGAAAGTTTAAGAGTTTGGATGAGATCATTTCAGAAAGTGAAATCAGGTGAGTACTCTTTTTTTTTTTTTGCTATAGTGATATTTTACTTCTCGAGCAAAACTTAGTACTGTCATTATATTTATAGCACGGCATACCCCGGATTTATCTCTATATAATTTTTGTCATATTGTTGAGGTGATATGTATACATATAAGTGTCAATCTTGATTCAAATTTATGTCACTATGTAAAAAAAAACTATATATCTATGTTGAGTGTCGAGCCATTTCCCGAAGTAAAACGCCAGGCAGATAAAAGCCGATGAGAACCAGAAGAAGGATTGTCAACTGTTGCAACGACTGTAGGTTCAAGTGTATGTGAAGCATGAAATGTCTCCACTTCACCTAATGTTTCCTGCAACTGAGGAGGGTTTGAAAGTGTAGGTTGCTCAGCAGGGTCATCCAGCTTCTCATCGATCGCAGGAATAGTATTTTCAGGGGGAGGATCCACAGGGGCGATTAACTTAGACACCAACAGATCCATTCTTATTCACTTGATCTTTAGATTTCAAATTAGGATGAAGCTTATAGCATTTATCAAGCTTGTGCCCAAACATCATACAATGAGAACAATAAGGAGATCTATGCTCCATAACAATTTGTTGTCAATATCCATTGTGAGTTGTGCCCAACCAGACTTCAGTAACATCAGGTAAAGTAATATCTCTTTTACCAAGTATTCTGGCCACAGAAGGTCTGGTTAGGTTAAAAGTGGGTAGATCTAGCTTCAAAGGGTCCTCAAGTATGACACCAATAGAGTAAAGAATCTGATGATGAAAAAAGTGCAGCTTGAGAATAGATAGACTAAATCATACCGGTACAGTAAGAGATTCGAGCTTGGGGTCAAAATCAGGAAACCACTTGAATAGCTTCATTGGTTTACCAGCAATGTTGAGATATTTTTTGGAAAAAATCTCAATGTAGTCTTCAGGCACGATTAGTTGAATTAATATGTGTCTCCCATCTATGAGTCATACTTTCCACTTTCCTGCTAATTTGAGATCATCAAAACTTTTCCTGATAACTTCCATAGGTGAGTGTCCCCACTGAAATTTTTCAATAAGAGCAAACTTGAATTTATCAGTAAGGGATGAAATTTTTAGCTCAGAGAAAAAAAGTGTTGATTTCCCACTTTTCCTGCTTGCAATCTTGATAAAGGAGCAATCACCTTCCCGTTGCTCCTTATAACTTGAGAGTAAGACAACCGCCGTCTCCCTCTGAGAATTACCCACCACATAGGTAAATGAGATTTTGTCAGGTGCAACCGTAGACGAAGGAAGCTCCATCACGGCAAGAGAAGCACT